ACTCTTTCTGCTTTAGAATAGTATCCAAATCTCCTTTAACATGTTTCCAGACAAGTAATTTAAGTTCATACATATGCAACAGCACTAACATTTTTGTGGGTTTAATTTTATCCCAAAATCCCATTCAATGCATATTTGCTATCAGTTGGGCTAATTTGATAGACGTTTCAGAAATATTTGGTATTGAATGCCATATAAATTAAAATACATGTAAAAGCAGAAAATATATTTCAAAGTACTCATAAAAATATTTTTTAAATTAAAAATAGACTATTCAACAAAATTTGAACCTTCAGAGAGCAAAATATTGGAAAGGAAGCAAACATGAGATCTTGTTCTATCATTACATGTTGTAATACTTACTTGCTAATCATAAAGCAAGGAATGGTTTCCCGTTGCCATCATGAGCTAGAAGGTAGTCTTCTATTAGTATGTTCTCGTAAAATTGCTGTATAAGCTTGTGCAGTCACATCCCTTTTTTGCGATTCAGTTTCCCCCATTTGTGCGTGCTTCCTTTTCCCATCAGAGTTTTGAGAACTTAGCAATACTTGTAAAAACCTTTAGCATCCTTGGCTGGAAAAGTGCTATGTAATGCTGGAAATGTATATTTAAACACCAACAGTACAAATCACGCTGGAGATGAGACAAAGAGGAAAGGTAGATCTTTTGCATTTAAGGAGCTTGCAGCTTAATTAGATGTAGGATACAGTATACATCGAAATGCTCATACCACAGTTTATGACCAGTGCTTCCACTGAAAAGAACTGTCCTGCCTGTCACCAGCAGTCAAATGGTTTTGATGGTTCAAGTCTGTGGTCACAAAATGCCTTTTTATTAGTAAACTTTTTTATATCAAAACAACATTTCAATTGAGAGGAGCACTAGAGAACATTCAGATTGCAAAGTCAAGCCGTAGAAGTTACGAAATGCCAGGATTATTATTGCTTCTGATAATTTAATTCACATACATCATACATTATGATCATCTTTATTTATATCATCATATTTTTTTTCCTGCTGAGAATATTTAGTTTTCCCTTGTTCTTCCAGTGAAATGTACATATAAGTATAGATATTACATATTCAGACACACAAACTACATATACTTCTGATTTGATACTGTATTATTCAGTTTGATTGCCCAAAGCCAGGCTCTGCTGCTCTAGACACTTTATAAAAATAAACTGTTAGCTGTCCAAAAAGCTTTCATTTGTTTTCCTGGTCTCTTGGTGCAGAGGAAGTAGAGCAAAAAGTTATGTTAAATCACCTTTTACGGTCTCTGTTGTGAAATTATTCTTCAGTCTCTTCAGCCTGTGGCATCTGTTTGAGCAGCCTGAGTGAGCTCTGCTCTAGCCTAACTTGTCTGCCTATAGCCTTCACAGAGCTGGTCCAGAAGCTGAGATTAGTGGGGTGCATGTCACAACGACATCAAATCCAGCCCCCCTTTATGCATACATTTATTAACTGCTCATAAAACCCGGGGTATTTCTTTGGAATCAAACAGTGGCTGGGATTTTGGTAAGGCCAGTTATTAATTCTGAGGAAATGCACTGAATTTTGCACTACCAAAAATAGGACTATGGATTTTGTGCATGTCTGTTGTCATCTTGGTGCATTCAGCCAGCTGCACACTGATCAGCTGTGTCACTTCAGGTTTTGCAGCGTTCAGTTGAATTCAGAAGGTTCTAAATTTCTAAATGTCTCCCCCTCAAGAGGCAACTGCATGTGTCTCTTGTGTAGGTCTCTTTCTGCAGGGTATTAGACAAAATATGTTTGGTTTTCACACACCAATAATTTTGCACCTGAGCCAGTTACCAAGTGCCATCATATAGTCAGTGGCAACCAAAGCATCTTAACACATGTAATTCCCTAGAATGAGAATTTTCTTCTAAAATGTGAGAATTTTCCTCTGAAATTTTTCCTTAGGTTGCAGAGGATTTTGTTTTAGCTTAGATGACATCTCCTGCCTGCCTTCTTTTCCTTGTACTTGGAGAATGCATAATAGAGGAAGAGAAGTTCTTCCCAGCCTGGTTACACAGATCACTTCACAAGAGGCATGAAATGTCACTCATTTAATTGTTCACTTAACACTAAGGAACTCTTTGGTGCTAAAGGATTAAATAATACTGTAACCCAGCTCTGGGCGATCCCTGGGAGTTACGGAACCAAAACATGGCACTGAAAATTCACTAAAGGTCGATCCTTTACAAAACACGACGTCAGTGCCAGCCTTAGGAATTAAAAGAAGAATAGCCTTCCCTTCGAAGAAAGGCCTTATCAGCAATAGTGATGGGGACTAGAGACCTGAGCAGACTGCTTGTGTGTCATTCTTCTAATATGTTTAATATTTTATCCATAGTAGAGATTAGTGTCATTTTTCTTGCCTGGCAACTTAATGTGTGAGTGCACAGCCAAGTCTGCTATCTCTCCAAAATGATAGAACTTACTGTAAAAGTCTGTACAGGTCAAAATGAAACCTTGCACACGTTGGTATTTCATGCCAGGGGAGTGTATACATGCAGTTTGACTCAACACATATCTTAAGATCACGATCTTGCAGATCTGGTGTGTGTGAAACTTTGACCAAAGTTGGTGAAAACAGTGTATTTCAGACTCCAGGTGGGGCCTTGAATATGTTGAGTTGCCAGGACAGCCCACAGGCAGTGAGAGGAGAGGGCATGAGATGGGAGTAACAGGAGAGAGAGGGAAGAAAAAGTGACAAAAACTAGACCTATCTTTCTGGGGAGTTAATGGCTGTAGAAAAAAATTCTCTCTGATGGTGATGCAATAGTAACTAAACCTAGGTTTTTTAAGAGATACTGCCAGTAATATTTCCAATTCTTTCTTTAAAAAAACCCTTAGTTAGAAAATCTGTCCTGGTGTTCCTTCATTCTGGCTCTCAGCCTATGTTAGTGATGAAACATAAACCATTCTCTATAGAGAATGAGAAGATTTAGAGTCATGGCTTTTTCGTGCAATCTGAGGTAACCTAAGTGAAATAAAAAGAATTGTCTCAGAACATAGTTTATTCTGTTCTTTTTCATTTACAAGCACAACACCTTTTCCTTCCAGTTTCATTTTTAAAGATGACCTAAATATTTGACAGTGCTCTTTTAAGTCACTCAGTTGGGGTTTCTTACATACTATTACTGGCAAGAGAGAGCCTCATCAGCGTTCCTGAAGACAGGTTGTGCTTACATCCAGAAATGAGGAGGGTTAAGAAAGTGGGTAGCTCATCACTGTAGGCAAAAAAAAAGCAAGGTAAGGGGGAATCTTAAAGAAGGCAGGCTATGGGGTAGCAGTTGTTAAGAGAAGCTATGGTAGTAAGTGTTTGCTGTAAAATACCGCCTTGGAGGAAAGAGGGAGTGTTTGGGAGGAGAGATGTCAGTGTTTCTGACATCCTGCCTGGTTTTCCTAAAAGCACTAAGAAGTGCTTGACCGCTTGGAATCCCCTTAAAACTAGTTTGTGCTGTAAACTTTGCATTCAACTAGGATATAGATGTCAAAGGTCAAAGTTCACTTTTTGCCTTCTCTCTCTCTCTCTTCCCCTCAATTTTATAGGGTGATATCCATGAGGATTTTTGCAGTGTTTGCAGAAAAAGCGGGCAGTTGCTGATGTGTGACACGTGTTCACGTGTTTATCACCTGGACTGTCTGGACCCACCTCTGAAAACCATTCCCAAGGGCATGTGGATCTGTCCCAAATGTCAAGACCAGGTATTGTTTGACAGACAGGGAGAGTCTGTATACAATGCACTATGAAGATTTTTTTGTGTTAAAGAAAATAACCAGATCACTTGGCTTGCTTAGATCAAGATAGCCTGCAACTGAAATCTGTAATAAAGCTTGTGTGAATTTGATCAAATTACATCTGTTGGAATGCATGCAAATACAAAACTGTTAAATCTTGCTCCCAGATTTGGGGTCTTTACTTGTTACCCTTGTGTTTTTACTCTTTTTCTGGGCCAAAGCACACAACTTTTGGGAAAGGTTCTCTATGACCCATAGAAATTTTGCTGTTCATCTTAAGCTTGTTGTTTCTTCAAAAGTTATTAGTATATTGTTCTGGACAAATAAATAAAGCATTTGCACAAGCCTACCTCAATAGAGAGAGCAAATATAAGGCCCTGATGGCTCATATAAATCAAACATCAGAGAGGTTGTCTTCAGTGATCTCTTTAATAACATCATCCAGCACCAGTATAATGAGGATAGGTGAACAGTTTGGTGGTTCTTCCTTCCAGATCCCTTTCTGAAAGTACACAATTGAAGTGAACAGATTATATTTGAATTTTTTTTTATAATTGCATTGAGATTACAAGATGAAGAGGTAAACTATTTTTTTCCTAACCCTTACATGGAACTCCAGAAGTTGCAAAAGATTGCTGTTAATCAGCAGCCTGAAGCTGTTAGCATTCTGTCTGATGTAGCATATTGCTTGGTGGCCCACGTGACCTTCGGTTTGCCAGATGGTAATGTAAGAAAACAGCCTGGCATATAACATGCTGTTTGGAAGAATGAAAATGCAAAACTCAGGGGGCTGGGAGTGTTACCACTTCCCTGTTCCTGCTCTTGTCTACTCTCACCTTATCCCTCTTAATATTTCTGTGATAGCTTCCCACAAAATTGAGGGGGGAGGAAGCCTGAGTTATTTCACTATGAAGTGACTGAGACCTCTATCTTCTGAGACATCAACCTGATTCACTTATTAAAAATATGTCTTTCCTTTCAAAATAAGGTTTGTTGGGAACGAATATGTAGGAAGGATCTGGAAGATGTAAATGGTGCTTACCCTTACAAAGAGGGTTTGACAACTCTACTAAGATGATTCTGATAAGAAGGGGAGATAGGAAGGTTTTGTGTTTTACTAGCCAGGAAGTGTGATGTTTGAATGTATGGTATGGAGACTGTTCTGTGCCATGAAAGCTTTTCTTCCAGAACAACTAAGATCAGCAATTTGTCTGAACCATGAAATAATGTTTATGTCTCCTGGCAAGTTTGAGTTCAGATATATTATCTTTTCATTCCTCTTTTAAGTAGTTCAGTTTCATTAGTAGGCTTTTTCTGTGGCTATGGAGAGAATTTGAGAAAATGCTGACATTTGTAAGAAGCAGGCCTGCTTTCTGGGAGCCACAGTACAGTTGTGAATAATTCCCTCTGTTAAATCTCAGAACAGGTCTGTGAAGCTTCATGTTAACAGGGCTGAGACTAATGATTGCCATAAAAGAAAATCCTTGGTCTTTCCCTCTCCCCCATTTGCTTTCTTAAAGGTAGATGTGTACCAGCTAAATCTGTAAACACTTTTCTTTCAGATGCTAAAGAAGGAAGAAGCAATCCCATGGCCAGGAACTTTAGCAATTGTTCATTCATATATTGCATATAAAGCAGGTAGGAAAATGGAAAACAACATGTGTTTCACTTCTAATAATGGTAGATGTTATTTCAGGAATGGGATAGAATGGTACTTCCTTTACAAAAGGAAATTAAAGGGGAAGAACCTTAATCACTAGTGAAATTAAAATAGCAGTCTAAATATTTGTTAAGCTTTCTGCGGTGCTTGTGTATGTAGGGGAAATTTTGGGTGTATTTAATGCATAGGTTGTTGAATTGACTTTAAACTCAATTACCCTCTTTACATGAAGCAGTTTAGGGCTTCTATCCACTTGTAACAGGAACATTTTTAATATTCTGATTAATATCCTGTTTTGCAGCAAAAGAAGAGGAAAAACAGAAACTACTTAAATGGAGTTCAGATTTAAAACAGGAAAGAGAACAACTAGAGCAGAAGGTCAAACAGCTCAGCAATTCTATAACAGTGAGTATAGCCTTCCCAGATAGTTCTGCACCTGTGTTCTGGTGCCAGAACACAGAGAGAAAACTGTAGAGCGGGTCCATGTACTAAACCTGTCTTCGACTGGATTTACTGAGAATTGAGCGAACACTTTCCTTTGCTTTTTAGGACTTTGGGGAGTATGAAATAAAGCAACATATACTTACATTGAGTCACTTATACGTGATCTATGCTGACCATATATTGTAGACATACAGTGACCTATAATATCAGCAGGTGACAGACATGACCCAGAGCATTATTGTCTGTGGGCAGTAGATTAAGTCAAATTCTCCAGTGGCTCACTTAAATAAGAATGGTTGGGTCTCTGTGTGTAATAAGAATTACAGTCTTGGTGCACTTTCCAGACCTTCCTAATACAAAAGTGACCGTTTACTCATGAGTGACTCTCAGGCTCTTGACATGTTGCCTTGGCAGTCAGCAGCTGCACACTGTGCATGCCTCTGCATAATATTAATCGGACAATGTCACACTTCTAGCCAGAAGCTGTAGTTTCCACCTTAGGTTATCACAGTAATCGGAACATACATATTAATTGGCTCTCTTCTCAGCTTAAAATGCAAATCAGGCTTTTGAGTTGCCTGGGTAAAGTTTGAGCTCCTCACTTAGCACAGCCCTAGTCGGTATCGTAGAATGAAAAATACTGACATCTCTTACGTGGCTGCATCTGTAAGGCTGGATGCATAAAGACAGACTTTTATTTTCAAATACTTTCCGGTCTGCCTGTCTTCCCCTATTAGAACAAAACCAAGTGTCCCATGTTTAAAGACCCTGAAATGCTGATGATACAAAGAAAACACCTGTGAGCAAACAAGCAGTGAGAGGTGCTGGTCAGCAGTTCTGGAGGCTGTCATCTTCTGGTTAGTGGTAGCTGGGCATAACCCGAGCAGCACTAGAACACTAATGCTGTTTCTCAGTGATGTTCCCAGGCAGATGCAAGCCCTGAACATGAGGGAATGACAGTAGCTAAGGAAAATGGTTTATTTTTAATGTTCAAGCCATTGTTTATGTTTTCATTGGAGGTGTCCAAAAAAGACACATTAGATAGGAATTTTGCAGTGTCTTTATGATGCCATGCGCTGCATGTGAAAAAAGTAAAGCTGGACATTAGCGTGGATAAAAGGTTTGAAAAAATGTAGGAAGGTTGCCATCTTCATGTAAGAACCTGAATGTTACAGATATAGCTACCATCTCCTCCTTTTTGAGAGTTTCAAATACAGATATAAGCAGTTTTTCACCCCTGAAACATCACTTGTGGGCTTTTTTTAAAGTTATCTTACCCTGACTCTTAACTGATGAGCTAGCTAGGTTACTAGTGCTTCTAAGAGAAAGAAGTGGCCACAAAATAAGATTTTCAAGTGAAGAAGGGCTTGTTTTTCTTTTCAAGTGCCCCTTTATTTATTGAGAGGAGGAAGTGATATTCCTGGTAAAATACACGTGAAAGCAAAGGCTGTATCCTGTTAGTGGCATGCACACCCACTGTCAGCAGTCAGCTGCAGTAAGATGCCTGAGTTTGCAGATCTGAGCTAAAGAAATGTCAGCAATGCAATACTAATAGAAAAATGGTAAGAACATATACTTGGAAGTTTCCCTTCAAAAGGAACACAAAAGGATGGAGCTGTCTGTGTGGATTTGCAGAATGCCTTGGGATGAAAGGGGGCCATACCAGCTGACAACTACATACTGGCAATGTAATTCCTCAGCCTCCAAATATGAATTCTGTGAACACAGCCCTGAAACTCTTTTTCTTCTAGGCCGGGAAAATGAAATTGTAGTTGCAGTCTTTTCTGCATACTTACATTTAGATCTGCGAACATCGTATTCCTTCTGTTACTTTCTTTCATTCATAAGCTTGAACTTATTCCCGCTTTTCTGTTTTGTTGCAGAAATGCATGGAAATGAAGAACACCAACCTTGCAAAACAGAAGGAGATGCACAGCTCCTTGGAGAAGGTAAAACAGCTGATCCGCCTCATCCAAGGCATCGACCTTTCAAAACCCATAAACTCTGAGGTCAATTCAGTAGCCATCTCCAACGGCATGGACTCGACTAACAATACTAATGCTGCCGGCTCCACCTTAGCCCCCTCCCCTGCCCAGAGCTGCATGGTGAACTGTAGCAAGGGCGATGAGACTAAATAACACAGTGAAGTTAAGAAGGAGCCAGGGGAGGGGGCAGCGAGGAGGAAGAGCAAAATAATGAAACTCTAGAAAAGCAAAACTGGATTTCTTCTGAAAGTGCAAAATTCTTTAGTTCTTTGGTTCCAGAGAGAGCGTGAAGATGCTTGTGCCAGGCGGCACCGAAGTTTGCCAATTGATCCTTCTTATTCTGTGTGTACATGCAAAGTTTGGATGATGTTACATGAATAGTGCCAGCTGGGGGTTCTTTGCCAGCACCATGCCAAGTGAAATAATATATTTACTCTCTCTATATTTTACACCAGTGTGTGCCTGCAGCAGCCTCCACAGCCACTATAGGTTTGTTTTATTTTTGTTTGGGGTAGGGAGGAGGGAGGAGAGCAGGTTTCAAATCCTTATTTGCAGAACAGTTTGTTTAGGTAGGGGAAGACAAAAACAAGTCCAAAGAGCCTATGGGCTTTTCCTGTTTCTAAACTCTCAGTACTATTAAACCAAAAACCCAGAAATATAAATTATCAAATCCCAGTGCCCAGAAGGGACAAGCCTATCAAATAAGCAGTATTTACTATTGTTTAGACAGATGTACAAAAGGGAAGGAGATGGACTTTTCACTAAGTAACCAGCACATGTACAGGCTGAGGATCTACTGTCCCAACAGCTTTGGGTTAATCCTATTTCTTCACATTAAACAACAGACATGCTTTGCAGGATTGGTTTGGGTCCTCACACTCATCCAGAAAGCCTATGTTGGGAATGGGAAAATAGAGGGCCAGAATGCAGGGTCAGCTTGGAGCATTGGGTGGAGGTGTCCCAAGAGAAAACATGCATTGATTACTTGAAAATGAGATTCCAACCCTTTTCTATATTTATAAACAACAAAGGTATCCTGAACAAAATAGCACATGGCCCAGATGTGTGAACTGAACAGAGAAATGTCCTTTTCTTTCACTTCCTTTCTCTTCTTTTGGTAACAAGAACTAAATAAGGAATAGAAAAGCTGTTTTTCAGGCTGACAGTCTAATTAAAGAGGTAGATGGGACCTTGCATGGTATAGATTAGAAGTAATAGTGTCAGTGAGATACAGTGAGTCTTTGTGAGTCCTTGTGTCATCGTTTTGGGCACTGTTTTTTTATGCAAGGGCAAAATCTTTGTATCTGGGGGAAAAAAAACAACTTTTTTAAATTAAAAAGCAAAATAAAAGTTATTGAGGTCTTCCTAGTGTTACTTAAAATAAGATAAGGTAAGAAATGTTGTAAAAAAATTACAAAAGTGCTATTTGTTTCCTAAACAAGTTATTTCTATTAAAAAGGTGTCAGAACTGGAGAAAATGCTGTGTACTTAGAATTTTTTAACACAGACTTTGCTTATTTATGATGACATTCTGCTGTCTTTGTGTTTTAAAATCCAGTGGGACAGTTTCCATAGATTATATCATACATGCTACTAGCTAAACTCTGAAAAGAATCAAATCCTACAGTGCTGGATCTCACCCCACCTGGAGGATCTGCCAGACTTGTCGCTGCTGTTACCATATCTCCCCCATTCTTTCATGTGTTTGTAACCCAGAGAAAAGCAATTGGCAGCATCCTTGTTTGAGGCTTTTATAGTTTTGTGATACAGACTCATTAGAGCTTGAGAATGGAAGACAGTGAGCTGGTTAGACTGAAATCGCCTTCTGTTATATCCTCTTGTTTAAGGCGTTCATCTCATGTATAATCTTTTCACTCTAGATAGCAAAGCTTACCTTGTGCTTCCTATTATTGTGGGGCCTGTCTCGGTTTAGAGTGCTGATTCTGGTCACTTAGGGTTGTGTCCCAGAGCTGCCTAGTTTCACTACTGCATATAAGCATTTGGGCAAACTCCATTTCCACTGGAAGTACTGGGGAAGCTCCCTTTACTTCGAGTGGGAGCAGAGCTGAGCCATTACACACCCGAGGTGAGGCAGAGTTCTGGTGTGGTGCCCTTGAGAGCACACGTTGGATGGCAAGGCAGACCACTCAGCTGTTTCTAGTGGAAGAGAGAAAAGCTTTGTATTTCAAAGATGCGTTTCTGAGGAAGAAGTGAATATTCCAGACACTACATAGCCTGAAAGAGCCTCCTTGCTGCCACAGCCAAGTATGCTTCTGCGGGATTCTTGGAGCTGTTTTCTGACCTCTTCTTTAGGTTGCTCTTCTGCCCTTTAAGGACTTTTATTCCTTCTGTAGGAGTGTGCACTATTTTCAGCTCGGAGCTCAGAACTGATATCCCAAGTGAGTTCTCACATTTGTCTGTAGTTGGGAAAGTGACTCTTAGGTGCACTTCGCAGCTGAACCTGTGATAACCTCAACTCTTGTCTTTTGATGTTTGAGTTCTGTTCTGGAACTAGCAGAGCTGGAAGGATAAGTTAGCACAAGTGGCAAGGAGACAGATGGGCAGATGATGTCAAAACTGATCACATTAAAACTGTCTGTCCATCAACCCAGTTACCAGTGGGGGTCATTACCATAGGGCATCACCGGGCCAGCAACCGATAGCATTTAAACAAAGGAATATGTATTTCAGGGGATGATGAGAAAAAACAAACTGAATATGAGCCTTCTTTCTTTAGAATACGAGCTAGCAGCTGATGGCCAGATACTCAGGAGAAGCTGTCTTTCTGGCCAGGTTGTTCTCTAGTTGGCCACTGGGTAATTCTTAACATCATCTTCTGAAGCATCGAGTATGTTCCTGATAAGAGACAGTCTCTAGGGATAAGTGTGCTGAGCCTTTGTGGTTCTCATGTTCTGATTTCTGGTGTTACCTTGTGAGCTCTTGGAAGCACTGCACTATGTGGGGGTAGCAAGCTATGCCTGAAGACTTGATAGTCCTTCTGTTTTCTTTGCCAATTCAGGAGATGGAAGTGAAGTTTACTGGTAGCCATATTTAAATTTGAGCACAGTTAACCAGCCAGGAGATGTTAAAACAGCTATTACTGCTTTTCCGAGGCACCTGCTTGTCTCCAGAATCCAAGTAGATAAGTATAGACTTTTATGTCCGTTTTGTTACAGCATTTGTGTTCCAGACTGTAAGAAGACACCTTTAGTTAATCATTACCTGGCAGAGAAATTATCTTAACTTAGACTTTTTGATGCTTCTAGGTAATTTTCTCTCTCTCTGTTGCTGATCCTGTTTGGATGCTTTCCCTCCTGGCTCTGCAGCAGTATCCATTGATAGGCAAGGAGCATTCCCAGGGCTGTACTGACACTGGCAATCATGCTGCTACATAGACACAAGTAAATTGGGGTTATCTCTGCCCAATTAGCAACAACAAGGTGGAAGGAGAATTGGCATTTGCTAAATACGGAGGAAAATGGTTTTTTTTCCAGCTGCTCTAAGAAGGTTCAAATCAAGGGAGATATTTAAACTCTTTGACAGCTTAAAGCTTAAGCTTGTCCTCTGGGTTTGGATTGGTGTATTTTTGGTTGGGGTTTTTTTGTAATATTTGAGATAGAGTGGGGAAGCTGTCATAATGACTGGCGTTTTGTACTTCCAAATCACCAGCAATATATTAACTAATTCTTATGTCATTGCTTGTCATTGGTGGGAAATAAGTGGCTTTTAAACCTCTGTTACAGAGGAGGAGATGAGACCACAGAGGAAGCTCATCTCAGAGATGGTCCTGGCTCTCAGCCCAGTGCTAAGGGCTTTAAGAATTCACCCCGCTTCCTTGCTCAGAAATAGAGTAAGCGCTGCAGAGCAGTTTTTTCCCTTCTCCCTGCCAGCTGTTCTTTAAACAGCTGGAAAGGTTTGTTGTGGTCAGAGTGGGAAAGCAAGCACGTGATCTGGCTAGAAGTATTAGTATTATCATTAATATTCTCATTATCTTCGTTTAGAGCCAGCAGTGGGTTTAGTGCTGTACAAAATGCAGTAAAGGCAGTACTCCTAGGGATGATTGGCAGGCATGGCGAGTAGTTCTTCAAGGACATCATTAGCCAGGAGTTACCACGGGGATATGAATTAAAAGCCGGTAACCTAGAAATTAAGGAGGTGATAATTTTATGGGCAGATCTGTTGGTTTTGTTGTTGGTAGAAAAAACAATATTGTATTTTATCCTTGCTAGCAGAGCAGGCTTAAGAAAGCACATCCGTATTCCAGCTGTCTAGAAATGTGAACCCCATTTCTGACCTCCTTGGCTTCAAATCATCTTCTTCCCTGTACTGTTGCAGAGACAGCCCTGAAAAGCAGCATGATCAGCATTCAGGAGGACCCAGAGTGAAATCTCCCTCTTAGCCCCTACCAAGCTGTGGCAGCCTACAATACAGGGAGTAAACTCTGAAATTTCCTTCCCATGTGGATACAGTGGAAAATATTTGTGAATTTGCAGTGCACATATTTCTCTTTCCTTTTTTTCCCAGCTGGGTTGCACCCTGCCCTCTTTGTTTCTGAAGCACTAATGATGACTACATGTTTTTTCATGAAACATGTTTTTAAAATATCATATTCGGATGTCAAACCAAAATTCACTCTTTTACTGAGGGACTCTCTCAGTGTGCTGCGCGGATAACCACTGAAATACCGATACTACACTTCCTTGTGGACCATGCCCCTTTGGCCAGAATTTGTTGTGTCTTTTCCGAACTGTTTTGACCCTTCTTCACCTCCATTTGTCCTCCTTTGGGATTCTGAAGATCCAGGGCAAGTTCAGCCTTGCTGGGTTACTGCAGCAAGTTTTCTGATAAGTGTGTAGAAACTCTTCAAAAGAGTCAAGAACATGGAGAAAGATGTTTTGTCATGCAGTTAATTAATTTTGCGCTTAGGCTTGCCTGGCCAACAAACTACCTCAGCAAAGGCCATTCCCAAGCTCTGTGGGGGTTCTGTAGTTTCTGGCAAAAACGTCTTCAAAGAAGCCTTCCAACAGCCAGCTAGGTACTGGTCTGCGAGGGCATGCGAGCGAGCCTCGCAGCAACCCGCTGTTGGATCCTTGTTTCCAGTGGTCAGACCTGGACCAGGGAATGCCCTAAAAATCAGGTGTGATCAGGAGAACACAAGAGCTGCAGACATCTTGTCTCCAGGTTAATGCCGTCTTACTCAGATCCTTCCGGATCCTTCCGTCCTGTTTGTAACACCTGCAGAATGGAATGTAATACTTGAAAAACTAGACTCTCTCTATCCTTTACCTTTAGCTCCCATTTCCCCCCGTGTTTATCGTTTATCTGGGACAAGAACTTTCTGCATCATTGCGTCTTGTATAGGCTGAGCACATAGCTGAAACTTGCCAATAAAGAAAATTATTTATACCGTGCACTGGTAAGCTTGGTAATTATAGACCCATGAAGAGAGAAACACCTCTGCTAGAGGTTAATTTAAGATGTGGGCTTGTTTCAGAAAACCAAGACCTTACTGGTGTGAGGGTCTGTCTGTGTCCCCTCTCAGTATTACTAAACTACCCGAGTAGTGAATGGAAAACAGGCTCACCAAGAGCAGCCATGCTGTGAAAATCGCTGCGCTGGAGCCTGTCGCATGAGAACAGTTGGGGCACAGGCGGGTGCTGCAGGGACAAGGGAAAGGACAGAAGCTGCTTTTGAGAAGCAAGGGCAGCGAGAAGGGGTACAAGGCTGGAGACAGGGGAGAGGAAGAAAAGCAGAAGGAGCGAAAGAAAGGAGGATTATGTGGGGTAAAGCAGAGCAGACAGAAGAAATGGAAAGAGATGAGAAGGAGGGAAAGTGAGGGTAGGAAAAATCCAGGAGTGAAATAGGGCTCCGTTGTGAGGAGAGGGGTATCCCTGCAGTTACGGGGTTTGAAACTACAATGGAAAGACTAGAATAAAAAGGCTCTTTATCCTGCCTCGATTTCTGACTTGGGTTCATCTGTATTCCAAAAGGACCAAGTGTGGTGGGAGCAAAGAGTTTCTCAGCTGCAGATGGGGAAGGAAGCAAGCACTAGTCATCCCCAGCTCTGCTTCTACTGCCGAGTCATCCCATCCTGACGGGAGCCTTGTTGGACTTCTATGCTACACTGTGGGACGGGGCAGGTCAAGCAGACCTTGGGGCAGCCAAAGCCTGCTCTCATCTGGACTGAATTAATTAAAAATTTCCCAGTGTGATTGCACCTTCCTAGTTCGAGCATTGCGATCAGCCTAGCTGAACCCAGTGTCAGCTTCCAGAGGTCCTGGGTCCTGAGTGGGTAGAGGAGGTGATGCCGGGCAGGACCTGTGAGTCGCGTACTTCTCAGCTGTCTCTTGGAGTGTCTGTGCAAGGTTCGTGTTCTCTGGGCCATCACATCTGTTAGTTCTGTGCCAAAACCCCTGCATGCAGCAGTGCCTCCCTGTTTTCTTAGGCTGTGGTTTATTTAGGGACATGTGTAGAAAGG